TTGGGGTTTGATTCTTTTTTAACATCTTTACTGGAGTATAATTGCTTTACAGTGGTGTTAGTTTCTGCTTTATAACAAAGTGAGTCAGCTATACATATACATATATCCCCGTATCTCCTCCCTCTTGCGGCTCCCTCCCTCCCACCCCTCTAGGTGCCTCTCTCACTTCATCCCAGTATGCCCTTCCCCCTCCCCATGTCAAGTCCATCCTCTAGGTCTGCGTCTTTACTCCTGTCCTGCCCCTAGGTTCTTCAGAACCTTTTTTTTTCCTTTTGATTCCATATATATGTGTTAGCATACGGTATTTGTTTTTCTCTTTCTGACTTCATTTTTTTTCTTTGATCACACATTATCTTATGAACCTAAGTTCTTGAGATTCTTATACCCATTGTTCCTACAATCATGTGGTTTGTTTCCCTGCACGTTTTGTAACATGGGAATCATGTGCAGTTTGGTTGGGAGTATGTATCTCCCATGAGTTCCTAGACCCCAAGTCTGAGAGGCACAGGCCTACCTAGGGTTTTGATTTTTTCAGAGCCCAGAAACATGAACACCCTCAGCCTCTCCCCCAGGGCTGGTGGGATTATTTCTTAAGTCTCCATTTCATCCAGGGTCCTGCTTTGTGCAGCTGTTTTGGTTCTAACTCCCCCTAGTACAGATTAATCCCTCCCTCCAAACCCGAGGGTGTTTGGTCCTTCACCCTCTGATTTCTCTAAGGGACTAATAACCACCCCAAGGGCTGCTCCAAGCACAGGTTCCCACAGCCACTGTCTTTGTTCCCAGCATCTGTGAATCTCCCTTTCTCAGGAAGTCATTACCCATTTAACTTTTGTTATTTATCATTGGGAGGTGTCTGAAGCAGGAGGGTTTTTAGGGCACCTTAGCTCACCATCTTGCTGGAGCCACTCTAGTCTTTAGAACCAAGCTAAGGAGGTTGTGGTTACTGAATCCACTCCAGGGAATACAAGGCGACATCACTGATTGTGTTCTTTCCCAAGTGCCCAGAGAGTACAACACCAGGAGGGGTAGCCTCCTCTAAAGAAGGGGATAGGGTTGGGTGAGGGGCGGGGGCGGGGTGGGTGTCCTATCACAGTCTTCTCTGGTTTGAATGGGCCAAGCCATGCAATCCTGTAGCCTCAAAGCTGCAGCCACTCACTGAGGGGCTGGGACTGTCTTGCTCTGCAGAGTTAAACCATTATCAGGATCTCCGGAACCACACTGAACAGCCAGTCAGCTCGCTGGCCAGATGGCATTTACAAATACCCATCTAGTCCCGGCTTTGCAAGGAGCCAGTCTTCAGGCTGGATCCCAGGCCAGGCAGTGCCTGGCAGGCAAAGGCAACCTCTCACAGCTCTGCTATGGGCAGCCGGACTTGGCCACACCACGTGAGTAGAACCCCAGGGCTCAGGTGTGATGAAATGTGCCTCCTGAGTAAGTGCTGGGGCTCTATGCAACCGAAGCCCAAATCAGAAAGCACATCCAGTTAAAACTGAGAAGTGGGATCCAGGCACTGGGTTTTTTAAAGCCTGTGAATGACTATAATGCACATCCAGAGCTGAAAACCACTGGTTTGAACTGTGTAAGAGTCCATCCCAATCTCAAATGTCTGAGAACCTCCCAAGGTGAACTTGTTAAAATTGTGGGCTCCCTAGTTTCACCCCAAGATTGATTCAGCAGGTCTGGGATGGCGCCCCTGAGCCTTTAATACCAGAGGCAATTCAGACTCAGTGGTCTGACCACACTAACTGTGACGCAGGCCCCTCCAAGTGACGTACGGAGATGTGTCTGAGAAAGGCCACGGGCAGCTGGCACAGGCGGATGGATGGCAAGAAAAAACACGACCCTGGGCTGCCCACTGGGAGGCCATTCTAATAGCTGACGATCCTTAGAGCACGGCTGCCTGGAAAGTACCCAATGGTGCCACCAACCCCACACTGAATCAAATAATAAAGGCACGGAGTGCCCTTGGGGTGCAAAGGCAAAGCTGCCCACGAGACTCCTCCAGGGCACAGCACACTTCTACCCAAGACACTATCCAGCCCTAAATACCAGCTCAAATTAATCACATCCACCAGCCACTCCCTGAGGGCCCGATCCTTGGAGGCTGTGTGCTCCCGATAGGGAGTGGCTAAAACTTGTGCCTTCTAAGGGAACATTCTCCTTCATAGAAAAAACAGAGGAGGACTCTATTTTTTTTTTTCTTTTTTTTTGCGGTACGCGGGCCTCTCCCGTTGCAGAGCACAGGCTCCGGATGCGCAGGCTCAGCGGCCGTGGCTCACGGGCCCAGCCGCTCCGCAGCATGTGGGATCTTCCTGGACCGGGGCACGAACCCGCGTCCCCTGCATCGGCAGGCGGACTCTCAACCACTGCGCCACCAGGGAAGCCCCAAGAGGAGGACTCTTAATGCAACAGCGCAGGAAGGCAGGAGCCGAACAATCAGTAAGATTCACCCCCAATCCCCACCTCTACCATGGAAAAGGAACGTCACAACACGGAAAAGCAATGTCACCACACGGCTCCTAAAGGTTCCCACCCACTTAGCCTTCCCTGCGGCGCCTTCCCTGATTTGGGTCCGAGCTACATCGCTATCTAACACCAGGATTTACTTATGCATCCAGCTTCCTCCGAGTAAACCTAAACCTCACAGGGTGGCTGCGTCCTGGGTCCCACCTCTGACAGAGAACAGTGCCCAGCAAGACAGCTGCTGTTCGCTCAATGAATAACTACACATCTGAAGTGATGACACACAATGAATAATTTGCTAATTTGGGAATGGACAGGTGAAGGTGGGTGGGATCGCCCCAGGAAAGGGCATTTATAGACAAGAGGGACCAGCCCGAGCCCCTGTAGGTCAGTTTGTGGCAGATGCTCTGGGGCATCATCTTTCAAGTGAACCTGTTTCCCACATACTTGGGCCAGGACAGGCATGAGGAAAGCCCCCTCCCCAGAACTGCTAAAAGCAAATGAACTCCTATTCAGTATTTATGAAAACTTTCTGGCTTTTTCTTCCTGAATTGAAATGCAAATTTTATCAAGGAACTGACACGAGAACAGTTTTATTTAAATCATTGACACTTGTGCGGTACTCAATATCAGGACTTTGAAATGCTTTAGACAAAATGTTTCCCTTTAAACAGATTAAAAAACCGAATCTTAGTTGGCAGAAGCTAGTGCTTGTATCACACAGCTAATGGGAGGTAGAATCCTAAAATCTGCTCCCAAGTGCCACCTGTACCTGACAACGCCTGGCAAAGTGTTTATTTTTGTGTTGCACAAGTGTAAGAACCATAAAATCTAGATTAACTTTGTAACAATAATTTAAAAGGTAGAAAAGGGTCCCATATTACAGAAATTTTAAAATTGACTATTTTACCATTTCTATTAATATAATAAATGAAGAAAACTGACAGTAGAACAGACCAGTGGTCAGCCAACACACAACACAATGTGTTAACAAACATGGCCAAAGGATCGGTGTGTGTCATGCATTACCTTCCACGTAACATCTTTTTTGGAGGGGGGAGGGAACATAAAGGCAGATTGATTCAAACTGGCCCTATTAAATATATCTATTAAGTTCATACTTTCTTCTGAAATTAATATTTGAGTGGAACATGTATTAATTATTCATATAACACTAGCTTTCTACTGAAGTTTAAGAATCCGGTAGATGACGTTCACATTTAGGCAAATCCTAGGAGCAACTGCACTGAACAATATCCACTCAATCAATTATGAACTGCAAAATAATACTGGGTAATTATTTCAAAGTATGAACTACAGGGCTTCCCTGGTGGCGCAGTGGTTGAGAGTCCGCCTGCAGATGCAGGGGACATGGGTTTGTGCCCCGGTCCGGGAAGATCCCACATGCTGTGGAGCGGCTGGGCCCGTGAGCCATGGCCGCTGAGCCTACGCATCCGTGAGCCATGGCTGCTGAGCCTGCGCATCCAGAGCCTGTGCTATGCAACGGGGGAGGCCACAGCAGTGAGAGGCCCGCGTACCGCAAAGAAAGAAAGGAAAAGAGAGAGAAAAAATATAGCAGAACAACTTTCTAACTCAAAAGTAAAGTACAAATGGTTAAGTCAACAGTACCTACTTACACACAAATTAAACAAAATCAGAATAAACACTCAACTTTTAGGAGAAGCAATTTCAGTCCTGGTTTTACCACTTAATAGGAGAAAGATCTTACGCGGGTCCTTTCATTCAAGGATAATTTGAAAACCAATTTACGAAGTTAATATCTTGGATCCCAGCTAGGAAAACTCTTCAAGGGTCTTTCATACTAACTTGAAGTTGGGGGACATACAATTTGCGAAATTAAATGATACCGCCCCTCATGCACACCCAGGTTACCCACAGTGAGTCCGGGTCACACTTCAGTTCCTAATGACCTAAGCCTCCTTTCTCCACATCTCTTATCCTGCGATACTCAACATGGGCTACAGAACACAAAACCAACCTGTGTTCTATGTGGCACCCACCTGGCTGATACTGATACCTAAGTGTGCACAGGATTGAGTTTAAAAGCTCTTCAATTCATCAAAGAAAAGAAAGAATAAAAATGACACCCTTAGTTTACACAGGCTTAACCTACTTTGATCACCTAGTAAACCTTGAATTGGCTGTTAGTGGTAAACAGAAAAGTTTTGTATTTGGTGTAGAAACCAACAAATTTAGGTTAACTCAAGCCTTCACCCTGACAGTACAAAGTATGTTTATTTGTGTGTAAAGTGCCAGTTTTATATACAAATCATAAGTAAACTTTAAAATCTGCTTTAAAATCTGAAGCAGTGAGTCTGATGTCTTCCTACTGCCTTGTGGTAGTAACTGTTTAATCCTGCTGGATCAAACTCGCTTGACTCCCCACACTTTGAGGCCAAGGAAGGTGCTGTTAAGAGCCAGGGTGAAGTCGTGTACAGCCAGCCTGCTTGCAAATGCCAAACATGGACAAGATCTTTCGTAAGAATCCGAGTGGCTTCTGTCTACGCTTTCAATCTAGGTGACCCCACTAGCATTAACAGGATTGATTTGGAGGTAGCTACACAGTTTTAAACATGCCATTAATGAACTTTATGGGCGATTTATGGTGTAGCTGGTTAATACAGTTCAAGTAGCTGATTTTCTTCTCTTTTGATGAGAAGGAAAAGAAGAAAAATCAGCAAAGTAAGAGCACATCTTCAGTTCACTTAGAAGTCAGCATCCAAGGTAAAGGTATTCTCTGTCGTACTGGACATCACTCCCATCCTCTGATACTCGCCTACTCTCTTCTCAAAGAAGTTAGTCTTCCCTTCCAGTGAAATATTCTCCATAAAGTCAAATGGATTTTCTACTCTGAAAACCTGAAAAGGTTCACAGCAAAACATAAATACGGAACACCGGTTTCAGAAAGAAACAGAGGGCTACCCACAATCCTTTACCTTGCTAAAACCCAGCTCCAGCATAAGTCTGTCTGCCACGAATTCGATGTACTGTTTCATCAAAGTGCAATTCATTCCAATGAGCTTCACTGGCAGGGCCTCCGTGAGGAACTCCTAGGGACCAGAACACAGCTTCTCAATAAAACAGAAGCATCAAGAGGTCTTCCAGCAAGCACAAGGCCTCCACGCGTCACCCACCTGTTCTATCCTAACTGCATTGACAATTATTTCTTTGACTCTCTGCTCCGAAGGTTTGTGTAGCAGGTGTTTGAACATCAGGCAGGCAAAGTCACAGTGTAAACCCTAGAAGAAAATGTTTAAGGTCACTATCAAACCAGCAGACTTCTAGCATTAACGTGGAATAGGAAACTGCTTTATGCTGGTCTGTATTCTCCTTATACATCTTGCGTGGCCAGACTAAGAGCATTTTAACTGTGGAAGGGAAGATGACTCAGCTGCTGTGTCACCTAGGCAGGCTCGGTCCCATCCAGGGGCCTTAGGGCTGCCCCCTAGAGGACAGGAGGCCGGGTCTGGTCCTCGCTGCTCTGTGAGGTGGCAAAGGACTGGGCAGAACTTGCACTCAGAGCATTCTTTCTACAGCCCTGAGCTCTACTGTCGCCACTATTCCCAGCAGTAAAGGCAAAACTCCGACTAGGCTAGTTAGTTTTTAGATTTAAAACCTAATGTCTGGGAAATCGGGAATGCAATTTCGAGTGAATCAAGTCTGCAACTCTTAGTGCATTAAATCCCAGTGCTGGGCTTTCCTGGTGGCGCAGTGGTTAAGAATCCACCTGCCAACGCAGGGGACACAGGCTCGAGCCCTGGTCTGGGAAGATCCCACACGCTGCAGAGCAGCTAAGCCCGTGTGCCACAACTACTGAGTCTGTGCTCTACAGCCCGGGAGCCACACTACTGAAGCCCGCACGCCTAGAGCCCATGCTCCGCAATAAGAGAAGCCACCGCAGTGAGAAGCCTGCGCACTGCAACGAAGAGTAGCCCCCGCTCACCGCAACTACAGAAAGCCTGCGTGCAGCAGTGAAGACCCAATGCAGCCAAAAATAAATTAATTAAATTAAAAAAAAAATCCCAATGCTGGTGGGACTTAACACTAGAACATCTGGGCACCTTCACTTTTCCTTCTGCACTTTAATCCAAGTGCATTCAAAGACAGATAATGGATCAGAATAGATTCACTGAGATGCTCACCAACTAACTTTGAAGTATAATAGGATCACACAGAAGACCAGGTAGAAACAATAAAACTTCCCTTAAAAAAAAAATCCCATCACCTATAGAGCAATACCTATGTATATTGAGAATATGAGTAAAATAATTTCAGCAAATTATCTAAAGTATTTCATTCTCTGCCAAGTATGTATATGGTTGAAGCCACTTGTTAAATGTGCATTTAAGGCAATCTGACATCTGGGGTTCCCTCCAGTGAACACAGGGTTGTAGGTGTTTGGGGTGCAGGTCAGCCTGTTATCTGAACTAGACTCACCTCGTCTCTGCTAATAAGTTCATTGGAAAATGTGAGGCCGGGCATCAGTCCTCGTTTTTTGAGCCAGAATATCGATGCAAAAGAACCAGAAAAGAAGATTCCTTCCACTGCGGCAAAGGCTACGACACGTTCTCCTAGAGTTAACGCCAAAATATTTCTAGTGAGTATCTGTTTGTGTTCACAGGAACAAACCAGTAACATCACTTAGAAAACGAAGCTCAGGGGTAAGTAGGGCCAAGGTATCCTTACCATACGTAGCCTCTTTGTCCCCAATCCAGCACAAGGCCCAATCTGCCTTCTTCTTTACACAAGGCATCGTCTCAATGGCGTTGAAGAGAAATTCCCTGTAGGCACACAGAGCATCAGCAATTCCAGCAGAGACCTCCTATCCTAAGCTTCTGGGTAAGGGCATTGGGACCAAGGCCAATCTGGGATTCAAACTGAAATGTTTTCTTTTTACTTGTTTGCTTTTTCCTCCAGTGTTTTCAAAAATCTCAACATTCACTTGGTTTATGTTAATACAAATTAAGGCATCCATTCATTCACACTGAGCCCCAAGATCTAACATGAAAACTCAGTCTATTACACCAAGAGCATTTATTGGCTTAATTATTTCAAGTCTAGGTCATGACAAGGTTCACAGGCCCTACCTTTATCTTCGAAGAACTATAAAATCTTAACTGCTAGGACTGTTTAAGCTATGCTGACCATTATCTCCCTAAAAAGATGCCCACACTCCTATAATTGTGCCAATTATCTGGGCCCCAAATGCCACAAGTATATAATAAAGCAATTAAAGTCAATAAACTAAACAACCTGAGATTGCTTCCAGCTATAATTCTATGCTACAATGTTGATCCCAGGTCAGAAAAGCAAATCGATTGGCCCTACGCTTACCTGGTCTTATTACTCTCTTCCTCCCCATTCCCACCTTGGGAGTCTACAGATTCCCCAGCCCAGCCTCGTCCTTCCCAGATGACCTTGTTTTCTGAAGCCAAGGTCATCAGGCCATTGGGTTCCTTTCATTCTCTTTCCACGTCAACCTGGGTCTCGCCTCTCCCTGGCTTTCAAGACTCAACCACCAAGCCGTCCTGATCCTACCTGTTCCGGTAATGTATCCCAATCATGCCCCTACCTTTACTTTCTTTGTTCATTTCTGTCTGCAAACACGTTCAAATCCTTTCACCCCCAATGAATGTCCTCAGTCCTGCTAGGCTTTCAAGTCACTACTCGTTTTCCCTCTTCACTTTCTTCCAAGTCATCTACAAGAGGCTACTCTTCACGTCCTGAAGCTGACCTTAGTGTCTAGATACTCAAACGCCCATTTCGAACTCTCCCCTCCTTTCCAGTCAATCTTGAAAATGTGAAATAGGCCCGAGGCCACCTATATTTCTCCTCTATTATCCTCCAATATAAACTATCATGTCAGGCAAACAGCTGTGTGCCTGAATTAATCTCATGGTTCACAGCTGCCTCTGCACTATCATGTAATTCCTGTACTTATACGCCTAGGTCTTATTTTCTATATTATGTTACAGCCCCTTACGAGGCAAGTTTTATGTTCTACGTTGCATCCTCCACCCTTTCCACCATGCCCCAGGCTCAAGTTGTAGGTTGACAGACTTGCCAGACGTGAAAACTACCAGACCTAGGTTTTAGGGCATCAGACACAGCCTCTAGGGATGTTTTTTCAGAAGGCATTAGGTTGGACGTTCAGCAGTATATTCCCACCTCTAGAAAATGGAGTAACCTCATAACTTTGTTTTTAAGTGACTGGCTAGTAAAGTGAATTTAGGCCTCTTCTTCAGAGCAGACAGGACCATGGGTGCTCGGAATTTCTTTGACTTGGTCATTTTTAGAGTCATTCTTCTATCCCTATACGATCTCAAAAAGTAACAACTGGTAATCCTAAATACGTTGGCATATCACCACCCAAATACTCACCTTTCTTTGGAATCTTTAATGTAAGTGTCAATGAGGAGACTATACATTTCAGAATGTATGTTCTCCATGGCAATTTGGAAGCCATAGAAACAACGGGCTTCCGTAATCTGAACTTCTTGGCTAAACCGCTCCACCTAGTGGTAAAACACAAAGATCAGTTTAAGGAAAATCTACCAGCAGCAACTCAGTCAATGAACACTGGTTGCGTCACACTTCCTCTTTTGTATCATCATAAGGTAGAAATTGCAATTCATTCTTTTTAGTTCATTGTAAGGAGGATGCACTCAACAAGACATATATGCAACCAAATTATTAAAACAGCAAAGCCACAAAAAGGAGAGCAAATAGATAGCTACCAGGGTTGCAGATCTATTACTACCACTTAACATTGTCTTTGAGCTTCTCTACAGTTGGGGGGAAAAAATACCATAAGGAAGAAATAACTGCAAAGTATATTATAGAACAGGAAATACCATGGAATATAAATACTAGCTTACAGATATATACACATTCAGTGTGGAAAAATTTAAAAGGCGAAAAAAGAAAATTATTAGTTCTCTTTTAAGTCTTGAAATGCATAAAAGTAGACTTTATTTTTGGAAACTCACCAAGTTTTCATTTACTATGCCATCACTTGCTGCAAAGAAAGCCAGAACATGCGAAATGAAATATCTCTCCTCAGGCTTCAGGGCTTCCCAGTGCTGAATGTCCTTGGAAAGGTCCACCTGGAGTACAGAAGTTCACAAGGGGTTCAAACGTGCAGGACCTCACACATACGCGTAATTCTTCAACTAAGTCTACTAGTATCGCTTGATTAATATACCCCTCGTGCACTTTGCCAGTGAGAACATCTAATATCCTCCCTCTGTGGGCAAGCATTCCCAAGAGGAACACGAGGAAAGCAAAGCACATTTCAAACAAGTTATAACCGGCACTGCTGGGGTCTTCCTCTAGAGTTAGGGGCAATGCTTCCAACTGCCTTTTAAGTCTCCTAGTTCCTGAATCCGATTACCTCCTCAGCTGTCCAAAAGGAAGCCTCAGCTTTCTTATACATCTGCCAAATATCATGGTATTCGATAGGAAAGATGACAAAGCGGCGGGGGTTTTCTTTCAGAAGTGGTTCATCCTCCACACTGGGGGCAGATAGCTTAGGGTTCTGCTGGGGGAGATAGGACGGAAAATGTTAAGTATAGGGCGAACCACGAAATTGCCTTTTTTTTTTAAAGCAAAGTATGTCCAATTATCGGGAATTTCATGCGGTTTAATGTATGTCGCTTGTCACACATGGGTTCTGTACATAACAGAGCAGGACTTTAGCAGAGACATAGTAGGAAAATGTCCAGATGTGTAAAGTTGTAAATGATCGGGAAGAGACTTTGGCGGGAAAGGAGCGCGGGCCCGGAGAGCGTTTGAGAGGAGACAATGAGGCTTTGGCGCCAAGAGCAGGCTCCTCCTGCACCGCCTTCCTGCAGCGCCCCCTCGCCGGGCGCCCCCAGCCCGCCTCCTCACCGGCTCGGTGGGCTCCTGGAAGATCCTCCTCGCGGTCTTGCTGGCCAGCACGCGGGTCCCGCTGAGGGACGGGGGCTGCAGAGAGACGCGTGGTGAGAGGCCTGCCCGCGTCCTTCAGAACCCCGCCGCCCTGCCCCGCCCCTCGCCCCTGCGCGCTCACAGTGTTCTCCTTGTCCGCCAGGCTGAGCCCCTTCATGGGCGAGAGCTGGAGGGGTTGCTGCTGGTGCGGGTCAGCGATGGTAGCGAGAGGGACGCGGACGGAGAGCATGGCTGCGTACGTCTCGCCAAGGTGGGGCTGCGCGAAGGTCCTGGGAGCCCCAGCACTCCGGCGCCGGGAATTTAAAGCATCCCTCACAGGCGTGCGCCGTGGGCGTGGCCGCTTCCCATTGGATGGATGCCGGGCGCTGGCCACGCCTCCCGTAGCAGATTCCGGAGCCGCGCGCGGACGCCGGTTTCCCCTGCTCTCCTGGGACCCTCGGGACCTACCCCTCCCGGGCCTCTGTGGGCCGCAGGCTGGGCTGCGGGCGCCACCGCCCATATCCCTGAGAGCCCCATAGGACAAAGGCTGCAGGCCCTGCGCGCTCCGGTGGCCCTGGCGCGCGCGGGCACTCGCTCGTACCGGAAAGGTTTGGGATTGAATGAAGCAACGCGATTGGAGCCCGCCCGCCGGAGAGCGGGAGAGGATTCCCCACCCCGCCGAGCCCCACCTCTCTGAAAACGTCTCTTGAACCCGTTTCGCGGTTCCGGGTAAATGGTTTTGCAAATGAGGTTGGTGCAAATGCCAGTACAAAGCCCCTGGCTGCGAGGGAACGTGGCTACGGCGATTTAGATACGTGTAGCTGGGCGGGGGTGCAAGCAGGGTCCCTGAGGTCGGGCAAATGTGTGAGGTGGTCGGTGGTGACCGTACTGTCCAAACGGTTAGGGGCGCGGGCTGCTGAGTCACTAGAACACGTCATCTGACAAAGATTTGGTGCCCTCGTCGGTCAATTGGGCCTCGTAGCCATACCTGACCTGTGGGATTACTAATAAAATGAAAGGATTAAATGAGATAATTCACGTAAAATGCACAGAGAGAGGGCCTCTGGTGCAGTTTCCCCCTGAAATAGTGTCTGCTGTCGGACCCCTGTCCTCTATGTCGACATTGTTTTAAAAATTGCAAACTGAGCAAAAATTCCTGAGAAAAAGTTCAGAGAATGATTGAAGAACTAGGAATTCATTTACTGCTTATTGGGCATCAAAGAGCCTAAAGCGGGGGGGGGGGGGTAAATCAAAAATATTTGATGATTTTTTTACAGGATAAAGTACAAACTCCTTGGCATGAGACGCAGAATCCTTCACAATCTCCCTCATTACATCTTCCCAGTCTCTTCCTCTAAAACTGCTCCCATTTTACTGTGCACTCAAGCACATTTCCTTAAAAATATCACAACTTTACCATTCGGGTGAGGGTGGAGACATGAACTTAGTAACAGTTCTCATCTGACTTCGGACGCGGTCTTTCAGATTTGCCAGAGCCTTCTGCTCTGCATCTGGCAAAACGCCAAAAATGATTGAGGAGAAAGAAGTGTTAAGATCCAGGAAAAAAAAAATGATTAACCAGGAAAAGCTCCAACAGCTGTACAGTCAGGGCTGTCTCTGAGTGAGACTGGACTTTTTACAATGTCTTTTCTAGATATAATACTTTAAAGAGGTGGGGGGTAGAGAAGATACCCTCCCCACAGAGGTCTATTTGTACTGTGTTTAAAGTATTCTCTAGCCTCAGAAGATCAATGACCATCACATCTCTTAGACAAAGCAACAACTAAAACTTTGGTCTGTCATCATTTGTTTTAAAGCAACTCGCAGACATTGTCAATTTCCCCGTCAGCATGCACCTCCAGAAAATGGATACTTTTACTGAAGATGTGATAATGGCTTTATCAGCCATAAGACTAATAAAAGTATCAGTGATTCCTTGGTATCCGCTAATACCTAATTAACATCCAGTTTCGGGTAATCAATATCCAACGTACTCCTTTTGGTTGCTGTCCCAGGCACCATGTACTTTTCAGCTCCTGCTATACTCTGTATGTACAGGAACTGTAAAGTGTAACTCTGTGAGCTAGCCAGAAGCTATTGCTTCATTTTCGGTTGAACTGCCACGAGGCGGGGGGGGGGGGGGGGCCGCCATCCTCCCCCTCACCGCCTCCCACCTCTGAGTCATTCGGGCATGTCCCGTCCTCCCCCTACATCGGGTTTAACTGCTCTCACTTTACAAAGGAGGAAGCAGGGGCAGAAGTCTACGTGGTTCTGCCGAGCGGTCACGCCGGGAGGAGACAGCCGGGTCGGGGTTCTGGTCTGCAGGAAGTTCCCCCTCTCTTTGCCTGGGTACCGGAGACGCAAAGGGCCCGGGCGGACCAGGCGGCCCAGTCCGGGGGAGGGAGGACCCTCCCCGCAGCGGCCTAGCGCCAAGCCCTGGGATCCGCCTGCGATCTTCTCCTTCTTCCTTCGGCGCGCGTTTTGACAGCTACTCCGCTACTGGTCAGCGAGACAGAGACTCCGCCCCCAACTTCAGAGAGGCTGCGCTCTTGCAAGGCTGTGGGATCCTACGCCGAGCCACCGCAAGCTCCGCCCCCGCTTCCGCAGCCCGCGCTCCGGCCGCCACGCCCCCAGCAGATGCACTTTCACCGTCTCGCGCGGGAGGGTGCAGTGGCCTCTACGGGGCCCCTCACCCCATACCAGGCGGCGTCACTGAGGCCCGGGTGCTCAAGTGGGGGGGGGGGGGTTGAAAACCTCCATTCGGGTGAGGGTGGAGACATGAACTTAGTAACAGTTCTCATCTGACTTCGGACGCGGTCTTTCAGATTTGCCAGAGCCTTCTGCTCTGCATCTGGCAAAACGCCAAAAATGATTGAGGAGAAAGAAGTGTTAAGATCCAGGAAAAAAAAAATGATTAACCAGGAAAAGCTCCAACAGCTGTACAGTCAGGGCTGTCTCTGAGTGAGACTGGACTTTTTACAATGTCTTTTCTAGATATAATACTTTAAAGAGGTGGGGGGTAGAGAAGATACCCTCCCCACAGAGGTCTATTTGTACTGTGTTTAAAGTATTCTCTAGCCTCAGAAGATCAATGACCATCACATCTCTTAGACAAAGCAACAACTAAAACTTTGGTCTGTCATCATTTGTTTTAAAGCAACTCGCAGACATTGTCAATTTCCCCGTCAGCATGCACCTCCAGAAAATGGATACTTTTACTGAAGATGTGATAATGGCTTTATCAGCCATAAGACTAATAAAAGTATCAGTGATTCCTTGGTATCCGCTAATACCTAATTAACATCCAGTTTCGGGTAATCAATATCCAACGTACTCCTTTTGGTTGCTGTCCCAGGCACCATGTACTTTTCAGCTCCTGCTATACTCTGTATGTACAGGAACTGTAAAGTGTAACTCTGTGAGCTAGCCAGAAGCTATTGCTTCATTTTCGGTTGAACTGCCACGAGGCGGGGGGGGGGGGAGGGCCGCCATCCTCCCCCTCACCGCCTCCCACCTCTGAGTCATTCGGGCATGTCCCGTCCTCCCCCTACATCGGGTTTAACTGCTCTCACTTTACAAAGGAGGAAGCAGGGGCAGAAGTCTACGTGGTTCTGCCGAGCGGTCACGCCGGGAGGAGACAGCCGGGTCGGGGTTCTGGTCTGCAGGAAGTTCCCCCTCTCTTTGCCTGGGTACCGGAGACGCAAAGGGCCCGGGCGGACCAGGCGGCCCAGTCCGGGGGAGGGAGGACCCTCCCCGCAGCGGCCTAGCGCCAAGCCCTGGGATCCGCCTGCGATCTTCTCCTTCTTCCTTCGGCGCGCGTTTTGACAGCTACTCCGCTACTGGTCAGCGAGACAGAGACTCCGCCCCCAACTTCAGAGAGGCTGCGCTCTTGCAAGGCTGTGGGATCCTACGCCGAGCCACCGCAAGCTCCGCCCCCGCTTCCGCAGCCCGCGCTCCGGCCGCCACGCCCCCAGCAGATGCACTTTCACCGTCTCGCGCGGGAGGGTGCAGTGGCCTCTACGGGGCCCCTCACCCCATACCAGGCGGCGTCACTGAGGCCCGGGTGCTCAAGTGATTTTTCCCAAAGCCACTCATCCCTATATATACCTGACACAGTGCTGGGGACTGTCACAATAATACTAATGATAACTGCACAGCCACTGGGCAACTGGACCACTGGACCAGGTGATTTACACTTTTAATCCAGACGACAGTGTGAAGTAGGTGTTTTTAGGTCTGTTCTTTAGATGAGACTAAGGCCTGAGAGGCCAGGAGGGTGCCCACGGTCACACAGCTCCTTACATTGCGCAGCTGGAACTTTTCTCTCCCAACGTTTTATTAAGAATATTTTCAATATACAGAAAAATGGAAAGAAGTCTACAGTGTTCACCCACCACCTAGGATTCAACGGTAGTTTCCCTTCTGCCATATTTGCTTTATCCCTCTTTACGGGTGTGTGAGGCTTTTGTTTTCTCTGGATCTTTTTTTTTTAATAATTTTTTTTGATTTATTTATTTTTTATTTTTGGTTGCGTTGGGTCTTCGTTGCTGCATGCGGGCTTCTCATTGCCGTGGCTGCTCTTGTTGCAGAGCACGGGCTCTAGATCGCGGGCTCAGTAGTTGTGACGCACGGGCTCAGTTGCTCCGTGGTATGTGGGATCTTCCCGGACCAGAGCTCGAAATCATGTCGCCTGCGTTGGCAGGCGAATTCTTAACCACTGCACCACCAGGGAAGCCCTTTTCCGGATCATTTGAACCTGGGTTGTAGATATGACACTTCACCCCGAGATATTGCAGTGTATTGCACAAGTAGCTCCTAAAAATAAGGACATTCTCTAACATAACCACAGTACCATATTCAGACCTAAGAAAACTAACATTATTTCTCTAATATCACTTAATATCTTGTCCATAATCAGATCTCCCCAGTCATTTCAAATATGTCTTTTAATCTGGTTTGTTCATTTTTGATGCAGGATCCTATTAAACGCATGCATTACATTTGGTTATTGTGCCTTTTTAGTCTCTTATTTTTTTAATACAGTTCTTGAATTTATCGCAGTTTTATTTGCCTTGGGGCATTCTTTTTTTTGGCTGCGTTGGGTCTTCGTTGCTGTGCAGGCTTTCTGTAGTTGCAGCGAGCAGGGGCTACTTTTCATTGTGGTGCGCCGGCTTCTCATCACGGTGGCTTCTCTTGCTGCGGAGCACAGGATCTAGGCGCTTGGGCTTCAGTAGTTGTAGCTCGCAGGCTCAGTAGTTGTGGCTTGCGAGCTCTAGAGCACAGCCTCAGTAGTTGTGGTGCGCGGGCTTAGTTGCCCTGCGGCATGTGGGATCTTCCTGGACCAGGGATCAAACCCATGTCCCCTGCATTGGCAGGCGGATTCTTAACCACTGCGCCACCAGGGAAGTCCCTTTTTAGTCTCTTTAAATTTAAACAACTACTCCATTTTTTTCCCCCATGAGGTTGACTTTTCAAAGTTCAGGCCAGTTTTCTTGTAGAATGTCCCACATTCTACATTTGCCTAATGTGTCTTCACAGTGTCACTTAATTTGTTCTGTTAATCCCTGTTTTTACTGTAAACTGAAAGTTAGATCTATAGGCTTTATTAGATTTAGCTTATCTTTTTTTTGTACGTAAGCTAAAAACTACCATTTGAACCATTTTCAAGCGCGCAGTTCAGTCGTATTAAGCACATATACAGCCTTATGCAACCATCACCACCATCCGTCTCCAGAACTTTTTATCATCCCATTAAACACTAGTTCCCCATTCCTCCCTCCCATCAATGTCTTGTAAAAACCATTCTACTTTCTATGTGAATCTGAGTACCTCGTACAAGTGCGATCTTACATTATTTGTCCTTTTGTGTCTGACTTTTTTCACATAGCATAATGTCTTCAGCATTCATCCATGTTGTAGCTTGTGTCAGAATTTCATTCCTTTTTAAGGCTGGATAATATTCCACTGTGTGGATATCCCACAGTTTGTTTATGAGATTTCCTTTCTGCAATCCGTCAGCCCCTTCCCTCCATGGAGTTCTTTTGTTTCCCAACTATTAGGAAGCAAGGTCAACCCTCCTCTAAACTGAGCTCCTCCCTGTGTGACTCCAGAGCACCTCCATCTTCTTTCTGAACTTGACATTCTGCTTTCAGACCTTCAGGATGCTCAGAGTTCTCTGTTAAGGAAAAAGGGGGCAGGTTCTAGACCCAGGCTGCCTGCGTGTGCATCCCAGCTTACCCACTGGCTAATTTCCCCAGTTGTAAAACAGGCATAATAACAGCATCTAGAACCTACTTCATAGGGTGGCTGTGAGGATTAAATTGAGTTATTACATGTAAAATACTCATGAAAATTCCTGGAACATCAAAAGCAACAGGTAAATATTAGTTGCCATTATCATAATTTGTCTAACCAGCCCTCTGTAACACGTTTGCAGCCCATCTCCAGTTTTTCACTATTATAAACAATGCTGCGGGAATTCCCTGGCGGTCCAATGGTTAGGACTCCACGCTGTTACTGCCAACGGCTGGGGTTCAATCCCCAGTCGGGGAACTAAGATCCCACAAGCCGCGCAGTGCAGCCAAACAGACAAACCAAAAACAGTGCTGCAATGTACATCTTTGTGTTTCCTAGGAGTAGAGTTACTGGGTCCAATGGTGTAAACATTTAAAATTTGGATAGGTGCCATCAAGTTGCATGTTAGAATGCTGGCCTATCTCCACTCTCACTGGCAGTGTCTAGGAGTGGCCCTTTCTCTGTATCCTGGCCGTTAATCTTTATGGATGGAAGCTCACATTTCCTTGCCTTAATCTGAATGTATTTGATTATTAGTGAGATTGAATATGGACATATGGGCATTTATATTTCTTCTCTGAATTTCCTGATATTTATCTACTTATTGATTGAGCTATTTATTTTCATAGTCATTTTTAAGAGCTCTATACGTTTTGGATGGTACCTCTTTTTCTATTGTATATGTTGCAGTTATGTTTCCTGGTTTTTCATTTGTGTCTTTTTTCTCTTTTTTTTTTTAGATTATAACTTGTTATTTTGAAAGAGTTTAAGACACACAAAAAGTTGCAAAATTAGTACAGAGAGTTCCGGTGAACTTTTCACCCAGGTTCCCTTCCTAACTTACACAACCATGTGCATTGTTTAAATCAGGAAGCTGACATTCATTCAATCCTATTAAGTTAATTATCAACCTTATTTGGATTTCACCAGTTCCTACACGCACTCGTGCGTGCGTGCGTGTGTGTGTGTGTGTGTGTGCGTGTGTGTGTGTGTATACACATGGTTCTTGGAAATATTATCACATATGTAGATTTGAGTTCATCACCAGAAGGAAACTCCCTGTGCTAGTCCTTAACAGTTATACCCTCCCACGACCCTGACTCTTGGGAACCACCCGCCTGGTCTCCATTCCCACAATTTTGTCATTTAGAGAATATCATATAAATGGAATCCCGGCGTGTACCCTTTGAGATTGGCTTTTTTCACTCAACATAGTTCCCTTAAGATGACCCAGGTTGCTGAGTGGATCAGTAGTTTGTTCCTTTTCATTGCCGAGTGGTGCCATGGTATGGATGTGCCACCTGGTGCAGGACATCTGGGTCTTCTCCAGATTTTGGCTAGGACAGATCAAGCTGTTAGGAATGTTTGCATACAGGTTTTGGTGTGAACATTCGTTTTTATTTCTCTAGGAAAAATACGCCAGGGTGTCATTGCTGC